TGGCTGAAGACCTTACTGATACCGACTGGGAGGATCCAGCTGACTATCTCAGTTGGTTGGCACCAAGAGTGCTACAGGCGGCCATGGGGATTGAATCGATGGCCTCCTGAATGCCACTTGCGTGCCTAACCAATTGAGCTAGGCCGCTGGATATCCTTGTTAATTTCAATGAATGAGAGCATTAAATGTTCCGAAAGACAGTTACAGGATTTTTTTTATTTTTATTTTTTTCTTATTCTCTTCTTCCTCTCTTAAGTTTTTTTTTTTTTTTTTTTTTTTTTTTTTTTTTTTATTTTTTTTTCTTTTATGCCCAACCAATCTTATTTCCTGTCAAATCTGGACAGGACGGCCTTTCATTTCAATGAATGAGAGCATTAAGAAAAAGAAAAAAAGAAGAAGAAGAATAATTAAAAATCCTGTAACTGTCTTTGGGAACATTCGTTAAAATTGGAACGATACAGAGAAGGGTAAGTATCAAAATGGCCCCGGTGCAAGGATGACACAGACGAAGAAAAAGATTCCTGTGACTGTCTGGTGTAATGTATGCGATGAATGAGATGTGAGGGTTTACCCCTCGGCTAGGGCCTTGCAGCAGGCGTGTGCCTGCCCTAAGTCAAGACGGGACCCCTGAATCCCAATTTGCCCTTAGTTCGTCAATGTTTGCAAATCTTGGAGGGCGCCAGACAGTTGCCACACGTCAGTTGGTTACATCCGCCTTGCTCATGAGAATCCAAAATATTTGTGAGCCTTCCAGGCTCTTCCAGCAACGCGGTCTAAGCAGGGAGCACCGCACGTTTGTGCCTGGGCGGTTGGGCAAGCCTAACCAATTCGGTCCCAGGCCACTGTCTGAACAGGCCTGGGCGCAGACGCTTTGGCCGAGACTGAAGCTACTGGAAACTCGGTCTCACGTGGGAAGCAAGTGGAAAGTTCCTGCCACTTTCCATAGAGGAAAGGGCTGGGCTCCAGCCGAGACATTGGGGCACTTGCAATTGCGGGCGGCAGTGCTGCTGGAGCGATCGCTCGCGGGCTGCTTGCTGCGCTAGCGCTGGTGCTGCGTGCACGCGCGGACGTGCAGGGTGCAGGGTGCTGCCCTCATAACCAGCCGCCATAGCCGGGCTTGGATTGGATATAGCCAGTGTAGGTGGTGGTGGCCTTCGTGTTTGAGGGTGAAGACGTGGGTGAGAAAG